GCTGGCTGCTCAATAAAGATCGTATGGGAATGTTAATCAGGGAAGAGGAGCCCCATCCCGATGACACCAATGTGAAGCAGGAAGGGGTTAGAGCCACAAGCAGAGCACTAGTAATAAATCTGCCATTCCCAAAGTGTGACCAGCAGCAGCTGCATCACCAGGGCATGTGCTGGAAATGCAAAGCCTCAGACTCCACTTGCTGACTCAGAAGCTCTGGTTGGGAGTGAGGGGAGCCCTCTGGGGTATTCTGATGCTGGCCCAGGCTTGTCAGCTGTTGTACTCACCTCCTGAAGCTGGAGACTGGAAGGAGAGAGCATTTGCTGCTGGGAGACCCTGCAGGGTTCCCTGAAGGAGGTAGCGAGGGGCCGGCGAGGGGACTTGGCAGTTCAGAGACAGAAATAAATGTGTGGACATTAGGTTTGTCTCTGAGTTTCCAGCGTTTCCGCATCGAGGTTGTTGGGTGTCAGGACCTTCCTCGAGCCCTTCTCATCCCACCAGGCTGTGGAATGGTCCTGAGCACTGTGAGGGCCTCTGGGCAGCCACCCTTGTCTGTAGAGCTGGGAACTCGTGGGGGCTGGGGTCAGAGAGTGTAGCAGTTCTGTGACAAATTAGCCGAATTTAGCAGCCAGGGCAACACAAATGTGTTATCTTACATTTCTGTAGGTCAGAAGTCAGACATGGGTCTCCCTGGGCCCAAATCGATGTGTCTTCAGGGCTACTTTCTTTCTGGAAGCTCAAGGAGAGAATCCATTTCCTCACCTTTTGCAGCTTCCAGAGCCCCCTTCCTCCACCTTCAAAGCCAGCACCGTGCACCTGTCATTGCTGTGCCCCGCAGTTCCTCCCCCGCCCCCTCTGACCCTGCCTCTCTTCTGCCACCTGCCTATGAGAACTGTGGAGATCGTGGTGGCCCCACCTGGATAACTGTGTATAGCCTCCACCTCCAGGTCAGCTGCTTAGCAAGCTCAAGCCCATCTGCAGCCTCAATTCTCCTTTATCATGTAAGGCACATACTCAGTCCACAAGTTCCAGTGATTAGGACATGGACATCTCTAGCTGCAGCATTGTGTCCATGTTCCTCTCCATCTGTCAGCCTGGGGCCCCAGCAGTGTAGGGTGTTGGCTGAGAGTGAGCATTTGAGAGTCAGATCCATCTGAGCTCAGTTTATGGCCCCCTGCTTTTTCCTGTGTGGCTTAGACTCTGCGGTCTCATCTGCAAACCAGTAATGACAGTAGTACCTACAGCAGAGGACCTTATGCCAGACACTTGCAATGCCCTTGTCACTGTGTTGTGACAGTTGGAAGGAAGATTAGATCTCACCTGCTCTGACCCCACCTCCTATACCCACCCTCTCTCTGTCACCTCTGGCAGATGGTGCGGTGGTGCAGACTGTCTCCTGGCCAGCAGTTTCTCTCCACCCTCTGGCCACACTGACCGTGCTGCTTAAGAAGACAGCCTGGCACCATTGCTAAGCCACATGGAGTGGCTGTAACTGACCACACACTGTGCCCCAGGATAGGCCATGATGGACGGGAGCCAATCGGTGGACCCCAGACCGCTGACCAAAAACACGCATCCTAGATGGGATCCTATCCACCCCGCTATGGAAGCGCAGGTCTGGGGCCCACACACCACATCTCCAGAGCCTGAGTTGGCCACAGGCACAATGGAGAAACTTTGGATGAAGCTAATGTTGAAACAGGTGGGAGAGAGATACAGCAGGAGCTCAATCGTGTTTTTAAAGACCGTTGTTCCAGCCCCTAGATCCAGCCTTGCCTGAAGGCAGCCCTACCAGGAGACATTTATGTAGATGACCCAGACACCATGGATTCTCTTAAGGACTCTGGTCTTTCACCTCTATTCAATCTTCTCCAAAATTAGCACATCTCCTGTGGACAAGATGGAAGGAGATGCCTCCTCATCTAGGAAGGCTGTGTCCATGTGGCTACAGCTCACTTCCTGGAACATCTTTCCTCCAAAGCAAAACAAAAGAAACCCAGCTCATTTGTTTCAAATTACAAAGTGCCCCCTCCTCTTCTGTTCTGAAGCTCTCAAATATTTTTAAGTCATTGTCCTTCCCCTCAGCCTCCTCTCTTCTGTCTTCACATGACCAGTTTCTTTACTCAGACCCTACATAACGTGGCTTGTAGATCTTCCATCACCACAGTCAAACTCCTTCAAATGCCACCTTTCCAATATTTTTTAAAAATTCTGAAGTCCCCAACAACATTGGCTGCCACACAAACCCACTCTGGATATGGCCAGATGGAACTGATGCCAGTGACATGTTGTGTCTGTTGATGTCTGGCTGCATCTTCATGTGAAGCCATGGTTCAGATTGTCAGGATGTCCGGGTGGGAAGGCACTCTGGTCAAGAGGGCTCTGCACCTGCGATTTTACGTGACTCATGCCTGCTACTGACGGCTCTTGACGCCATTGGGAACCACCAGCAGGAACAGACATGTAGTTATACAGCCAAATCCTTTCTGTCCGGTGCTCCTGGCCAGCCTCAGACAGGGACCCAGCCCTGAGTTGACACAGTGGATGGCCAGCAAGGTGTCAGCTTGGATTTCTCAAAGTAAGGCTGAAACGGTTAGGCTTTCTGTCCCCACCCAAATCTCATCTTGAATTATAATCCCCTCTATCTGGGGCAGGACCTAGTGGGAGGTGATTGGATCATGGGGGGTTCCCCCACACTGTTCTCGTGATAGTGAGTTTTCAAGAGATCTGATGGTTTTATAAGGGGCTCTTTCCTCTTCACTCGTACACACTTCTCTTGCCTGCCGCCCTGTAAGACATGCCTCTTCCTCTTCTGCCAAGATTGTAAGTTTCCTGGGGCATCCCCAATGCTGTGGAACTTTTAGTCTTTTTGATAAATTACCCAGTCTTGGGTATCTTATAGCAGTGTGACAATGGACTAATACAAAGGCCGTCTCTCCACCCCTTGCTTGTGTGGGCCATTGCTTTGGACTTGCCATCAGGGCCCAATGACCCTGGATTGGCATCCCTTGGACCACCCCGGGACAGGACGTGGGCCTGGAAAGGCCTAGCTTCCTCTCTGCACAGCTGCTAGGCTTATGAGCTCTGAAAGATGCAGGCCTCCGAGAGCCTCCATTCAGCCCTCGATAATGAGAGGGGGAGAAGAGCCATCTCTCAGCCCACAGTCAGAAGGAATTGGGCTTTATATTCATTCGCACAGCTCCTCTCAACCTGATCTGACAGTCCCTTTGCCATATCTCCCCCACAACAGGGAGCTGCACTGGACTTCCAACAAGGAAGAGAGGCGGCCTTATCCCCATTTCCCAGATAAGGAAACTGAGCATCAAGGAATGTACAGGCAGCAGGTGGCCAATTCCAGAACTCAGATGTGTGTCTTCCAGTCTTCCAAGGCTGTGCTCTCACATACCCTGCAGAATCTGCCTTGCAGATAAAGGGGCTGGGGCTTAGCAGCTTGCCTAGCTCCCATGGCTGAGAAGTGAAGAACACAGAGCTGAATTCCACCGCTTCCCATGCCAGGGTCTTGCTGCTCTAAGACGCCTCCTCCTCAGGGTCCAAAGAAGATGGAGCAGCCTCTGGTCAGATGGCACCACGTGCTGGGTTACAATGCAGAAAATCTTCCCTCCCTTCTTCTTGGGGCCAGCGTCTTGCTTCATCCCACTGAGGTAGGGCTTGGATAAGTAGCTTGTTCAGGCCAACGGGACATAAGCAGAAACAACACGCCAGTTCCGAGACAAGCCTAGTGGGCATCTGGTGCTTCCTCATGGCCTGTTGTGTTCCTATGGTTACCACAAGAAAGCATGCCCTGGATAGCCACTAGTTCAAGGATAATGGGAGGCTCATGGAGCAGAACTCAACCCACATCACAGCCTGGAGCCTGGAACCTGGAGCCAGGATCTGGGAGTCTGGAGTGCAGCGTTAACCCAGCCATGGGGCCGTGCAACTCTCTTACTGGCTCGTAGTGATGGATACCGATTGTTTTCAGCCTCTGGGTTGTGGAGGGATTTGTTATTCAGCATTATTACAGCATTGCTAACGGATACAGATGGGTCTAAACTTGGATGGTGAACAAATATGAAATCTATCTTAAGAATAGCGGATTATTCTCTGATCCAGAAAGAATGCACAACATAAAATCCAAAATAGATGGCCCCATGCTAACTGAAACCAATGTTCAAGCTAGCTCTTTACAATTTAAAAGGAAATTTACATTTGAGATAGAACGGGAGTTTTCCATTTGAGGTGTTTTGAATGGAAACATCAGGATCTCCACAAAGGTGCTTCTCGCTTTTTAAAGGCTTTTGTTTATACCTAATACCAAACTGATGCTAGATCGAAGCATCAATTGACAGTCTGATGTGGTCAATGAAGAATGACCAACTTACATGCAAATCCATGTACAAGCAGGGGCCTTCCATTCAGTCAGTCTCAATTGAAAACTGCCTTCTCAAAATTCACTCTAACATGTGATTGCATTTATTTATGGGTGACAGCTAATTTGCTTTCTTCCTGTAATAAAATAATAAAAATATTTTGCTCTGCGAGTTATATTTTTTCAGGGTAATCATTTCATTAAAAGTCATTTAATATCCTTCTGTTCTGTTATCTGCTACATCTCAACTTTTGTGTTTTCTCTGCTCTCCTTGTCTTCTGTCATATTTCTCATTAAATTTCCCCTTCTTGTTCTTTTGTTATGATGGCTTATTTTCTGCCCTAAAACAAGCTTTGAACTTAAAAACCTGAAAAGCATTTTATTTGGAATAAAAGAATCCGCAGTGTCACGCATTTGTCAGCTAATGTGTTCCTTCCCATGCTTCGTTTTAATTTTTCAGCGTGATTGTTTATGAACGAGGCTTTTGGTTTCTCCGAGGCTGGTTTGGTCTTTCTACCCGTTCTTCACAGAAAACGATAATCCTCTGATAACATAATCATCGCCGTAGCAACCGGAGGCAATGTCATAAACAGGATTATGACTTCAGGAGCCCAGATTTGCATGTCACACCTACTACTTACTCGCCAGGCGCCTCTGTGGATGCCACTCCACAGCCTCGTGTGTTAAGAGGTGCAGAAGAGCTGCCTGATTGGCTCCCAAGCTGAGAACCAGGAGCCCGGGGGAAGTCATGGCGAAATCTCAACCTGATGTGGGCCTGTCAGCATCAGACACATGCTCAGAGCAAAACAGCCTGCTCTTCAGTGCGTTTAGTTTAGTTCCATTGTCCTGCCCCCCTCCTCCCACCCCTCCCACCACTGAGGACTGGTATTCAAAAGCACAGGTGAATGCTTTGCAGGTGCCGGGTGCGTGATTCAATTCTGCGTTCCTCAATCTAGGAAAAGCTTGGGAAGCACTGATCAGAGAACCGATAGGCTTCTAAGACAAGAGAAAGACCGTGGCTCCCGTTCAGGTACAGCCAGGAGGACCCTGGGGATGGAAGCCAGCACTGAGTCCAAACCTGGTGTGATGCCCCCCTGCGTTTGCACTCCTCCTTTAGCCTTTGACAAGTTACTTAACTGAGTAAATCTTCTATTTCCACCACGATAAAGGAAAGATTGTGTGTGACTATTATGTTTTTATTCCAGATTGAACCACTCAGTGTATTCACAAGGTCAGTGAGGGAAGCACACGGAAGGGAGCGTGGGCTGGTGCTACGCTCATGAACTCCACAGACACCTTAGCGGTTGCCAGGGTATTATCTGGGTCTTCTAGGCATCCCAGTGGTTTGGTGGGTGATTGTTCACCCATTTCACAGATGGCAAAACTGAAGCTTATGGAGTGCCCTGTGATGCTCCAGATCACAGAGCCAAAAGGTGCAGAGTGATGGCTCAGACACAGGCCTCCCAGCTCAAGCTCTGTGCTCTGGACAGAAAGTCAGTGTGACCCTGAAGGACAGGCAGCTGTGCAGGGACAGGATAGCCCCATTCTGGAAGGCTCATTGGCTAGGGGAGAGAGGGTACAGGGAAAATAATTCCCTTTCATCCATCCATTTCCGCTATGGCTCCTAAACTTCCCTTCCATCCCAGCTTCTTTCCTTTCTTCTCCTCGGGACTCAGCAGCACAGACAGTGGGGCTGCCACCTCTTTCTGCCCAGTCCACCATGGCTAGGGACGGATTCTCTCCGCTCTACACAGAATTCAAGAACTATATTTGGATCTGCTTCACAACAGTAATCCCCACAGCCTTAAAACATGCAAAATAAAAATAAGTTAATCGCCCCTCAGCATTTTACGGTACATTTGTAATTTTTTATTTAAATGTGTAATATCATAAAAGAAGCTTGGCTCATGGAGAAACTGTGATTTCATCAGAAGAAATTGCTCTCTTTTAAGTGAAAGTAAATACTCTTTAGGGCATCCCCAGAGAGGAAATGAGGATGAAGGAAACTTGTCTCAAGTTAGCCGAATCTGGCCATTATTCTTTCAAAGGCAGCAATGTGTCACCGCAGAATGTGACAATTCCCTAAAGTGACTGCTGGTGAGACTGATTCATGAGCAAAAGCAAAGACGTTGTTTCCCCAAATGACCTTTGAGTTGCTAACCACCTGTGAGTGAAGACCGTGGACCATGGAGGGAGAGGGACCCAGGAGGCTCAGGGGTCCAGATCAGCCCTGAGAAGGACCTGTCTGTCACCTTTCCTCAGGGTTCTGTTATTCTGAATGACAGATCACCATCACCTTCAATGCCTGCACTTGTTCTCTGATTGGCCACTCTTGGAGAGAGAGGGGCTGCCCATTAAGACCCATTGTTCTGACTCTGAAATGAAGGAAAATGAACCAATTAACATCTTGGCAATGGACAGAATTCATCATGCTTGACCGTTTTTATTTAAGTTCTTCCCCCGAATGCAGCACAGAAAGGCATTTATTAGTTCACACAAAGAGGCATGTCTGAACACCAAACATTCAATTATTCCAATGTTTACTGTTGAGAAAACTGCAAAAGAAAATACACATTCAACAGACACATTCTGAAAAGGTCTTATAAAAATGAGGCCTTTTCACAGTTTCTAAGGCATATCCTATAATTTTGTTTTTTAATCATTGCAACCTACTGGATTCAATATTAGATTCTTATTTCTACCTCTGCAAACCCTCATCATAGTCTTCTGGCCTAGGTAGCCATCTTGCATTCTGCTTTGCCGTGTCTTACCTCCACTATCACCAAATTAGGTGACACCTCAGATCAGGTTAAGGAGAAATGACACATGAGATTTGTAGACTGTCTTCCTCTCTCCTATGACCATCGTGGTCAAGTGGTGGCACTGATAACCTGATTAATGGCCTCCTTGTACCCCTGTCCCACTGAAACTGGGCTCAGCCAAGTGGCTTTTTTTGGCCAATGGATGTTAGCAAATGAGACCCAAGCCAAGTTCTGAAAAGATATTCACTCTCTTTGACCTCTGCAACTACCGTGAGAACATATTCAGGGTAGCTTGCCAGAAAAAAAAATCTAAAAGATATCTAGAGGAGAATGCTTTGGCCTCCAGAACCTCCCTGAACCGGCAGCCGCCATCCAGCATGCAGCTCAGCCTGGCTCAGATCAGCAGAACTGCCCACCCAACCCAAAACCCAAGGAAAAATAGTGAATGGTAGTTCTTTCAAGCCATTTACTGCTGGGATAATTTGTTACATGGCACTCTTGAGGCAACAGATAGCTGCTACAAACCTAACCCCAGCTGTCATTCATTAAGCACATGTTATGTGTCAGGGATGACGCCTGACAGACAACTCCGATTTGCCCAATGATGCCTGCATGCTGGTGTCATTATTCCCATTTTTATAGATAAGGGCACATGCCTTCCACAGTAGAGTTTGGTGAGCACGTGAGAAGCTGTGTTTGGACCCACGGCAGTCTCCTCCTCCCTCCCGTCACCTGCCTCCACCTTGACGGGCTTCTCTGAATCCCTGGCTCTGGTGCCCGGCTCTGAGCATGAACGGGTTACCACGGGAATACCAACAACCTCATGTTGATGGGGAAGGACTAAGCCATGCCATGTGGCCGGCCCGGGAAATACTATAGGGGCATGAGCAAAGCCCACCTTCAATGTTTAAAAGCAAACAGGGGCCAGGAGTTCCTATCTGCAGCCACTCATCAGCGTTTTACCCTCGCAGCTCACCCACTCATCACACTGTGAAATGTGATTGCTCCAAATAAACCCATACGAGGCAGATGCCGAGCCCACCACGCGTGCCCAGTGACGGGGGAAACTGGTCGCTCCCTCACAGCCGGCCTCCCCCTGAGATCACCCGCTTCGGGCATAAATAGAGTGGACCTGTGATGGACCGGACCATCCATCCTGCTTTCTGAATGTCCTCCTAGCAGAAGCTGGCTACTTCCAGCTGAACTCTGTCTTCTTCCCTGATAGGCACTGGCCTGGATGCCACGGGAGGGCCAGGAGCTCGCTGACCCTCCCCACTGTATCTTCAGCTGTAAGCATGATAAGAAACACGACAAGTGTTTGTAGACGGATGAATGGTCTAAATGCACATATGGGGAGTTTTTCAAGTTGCATCACAACTCCAGCACACATTCATTTACATCTGTTAGTGTTCCTTGACTCTGGTTGCATACTAGACTCATCCAAGCTGTTCTGAAAAACACAAACACACAGCCCCACCCTGGAGCAACGGAACAGGCTGTTGGAGGGATTCCCGAGTGGAGCTGCTGCCTGAATTCTCTCTGGGTCAATCTGATGTGCAGCCAGGGTTGACGGCTGCCCTCCTCTCCCATTTCGATTTAAACACAGCATTTTAGCCAGCTCCTTTCTAACCCTCATGATGTGATGTCGTCTCTCCGGGGAGATCTCGCATAGTGTTCCTAGGAGAAGGTCCAGCAAAACCTGCGGCAGGAAGTAAAAATCCCGCCGCCGCCCCCTCTCTCCATGCCTGCAGGCAGCTGCACAAACCTGTCTTCCCGGCAGCTGCTTGTACATGTAATGGCTTCCAGAATAACTGCTGAGCTGGAACCAGTAAGATGTGGCGGAGGAGGGGCTTCTCATCTGTCAGCTGGGGAGCCTGTGGGGCCTTACACGGACTCAGCTTTCACCAGTCCCAGAACAGCACCCCAATGGTCCTGGGATTTTCAACTCTGGAGCACAAGGTGGGAACCCAGCAGCAGGCTGGACCCTCCAGCCCCCTCCCCATTGTCCTCCATGAGCCCCTGGGCCTGTTGGTCTCAGAGCAAAACCACAGCTAGAGGGACTTAGCGGATTTTGACAGTGTGTTGATTATGAATATGTCCCTTTCAGGCAAGTTAATGAAGCATCCAATTCACGCCAGCTTTTATCTGTCAGAGAAACACCAGCAAGCAAGGTAGCGACACCCAGCCAAAGCCTGATGTGAAGTATGAACTTCATGTTAATTAGGAAACAGAAGAATGTGTGGATTTCTCTAATGCAGCCTCATGATACGAAGTCAGCTGATTAAAATGCTCTCAGTCTGGGCTTGGGGTCATTTGTGGCAGCTCTAAGGCCATCTGAGGCAGAAGCACTGAACATGACCTTGAGAGTATCTTTGACCACTTGACCAAGAGGCCAGAGACTCTACAAGTGTGCCCAGGCTGGACAGCTAACCCAACCTGTGCTCATCGGGATGCCAGGATGCCAACTTCTCCCCTAAACGAAGTGAGCTCACTGATATGCTGCCATTTTAAACTACAAAAACAGTGATTTCACCCGAAACACTGGACCGCTGACTGTGTTCCTGGAAATTTCTCCCTTAGAGTATAATGGAAAGAGGACTAGGTGTAAGAGACCTGGCTGCAGAGCTCACCTTCCCCACTAAGCAGCCACAGACATTTTGGCCACTAATGTGCTGAGTCGCCTTATTCCCCTGACCTACAGCTTCTTCGTCTGGGAAAGGAAGACATTGGATTGTAAAGTAAAAACAGCCCACATTTTTTAGCATTTGCAATATGCTAGGCAATGTGCTAATTGCTTCATTATTAAAGAGACCATCAGCATTGAACAGTAGTTATTAACGCCTCGCCCCCCCCCGCCAGCAGGTGGAGACCCAGTGGTTCTTCCCGTTTGTCAGATTGGGTCATGGGTCATGGAGCTCAGGATGGTGCACGTGCTGCATCTGAAAGGCTGGGGTCTGGGGCTCACTTCTAGGTTGTTGATGACTGGGTTCAAACGCATCATTGTGCATCCCTTTCTTAGCAGAGGATTCCTTCCCGCTCTGCTACAGACAATTCATTGCTTTACAGTCTTTTCACTGAGACCACTCACTGGCAGTGGCATTTGTAGAAAGTAGCATCTAAACTGACAAGCCCCACCTGTCACCGAACCTATGAAGGGAGATTCCCACTTGACTTATGATGTCCAGAGTGCTCCTTCTGTAGCTGTGTGGATTTTATTTTTCTGTTGTCCATTCGATATGGTCAACTGGCATTTACCATGAATTCCCAGCTCCTCCACAAGTTCTTCTTATACTGCTAAGGTTGAAAATTAAACAATACATTTTCTCGAATCTCTTATGCGGTAAGCAGCTAGAAAGGTGGTCCCCAATGACCCCTGTTCCCTGGCACTCATGCCCCTGTGGAATCCCACACCCCCATCAGTGTGAGGTGACCTAGTGACATGTTCTAGCCAATAGGATGATGGGATGATGTGTAATTAAGAGGATAAGATGTCACGTCCTTGATTAGGTTGCAAGAAACTGTAACCTCCATCTTGCCAGCAGATTCTCCCTGGCCATCTCAGCTTGCAGAATGTAAGGAAGTAAGCCCTCACCTTGCAGAGGTGCCCGTGATAAGGAACTGGAGTGGGGGGTGGCTCCACACAGCAGCCCGCAAGGAACTGAGGCCTCTGTCACCCCTGGAGCAACTGAGCTGACCAATAACCCCAGTGAGCTTGGAAGCAGAGCTTTCCCCAGTTGGACTTCAGATGAGACGCCAGCCCCAGTTAAGGCACCATGATGGTAGCCATGGTAGCCACAGGAGGCATAGGACCCAGCCAAGCCCACCTGGATGCCTGATCCACAGAAATTGTAAGATGGTAAATGTCTGCCAAGTTTGTGGTAATCTATTAATCAGGGATGGATCACAAACAAACCTGCACCCACAGATGAGATTCAATTCTGTCAAGCATCTCCCTGGGGTGATGTGGAAGTTCCATCTCCCTGGAGGGATGTGAAAGACAGAAATGAGGCCATCTCCTGGCTTCCTATGGCTGATTCTGCCAGCACCTGTGACAGATCACCAGCTATGATATCATAGCCTCTGT